TTCAAGAAGCACACAAAGGGGAGATTATTTCACAAGATAAATGTTAGTATATACTTTACTGTGATATAAATTTTTAGTAGGTCCTGTTGTGATAGGACAAAGGGTAATAGAAAAATAGTTTTCAACTTAAAGAGGGCAGATTTAGACAAATATAAGGCAGAAACTTTTTATTGTGAGAGTGGTGAAACACTGAAACAGATTGTCCGGAGAGGTGGAAGATGCCCCATCCCTGGAAACTTCAAGGCCAGGTTGGATGGGGCTCTGAGTAGCTGACCTAGTCGGAGATGTCCCTACTCAGTGCAGAAAGGTTGGACTGTACGAACTTAAAGGTGCATTCCAACCCAAACCATGCTAGGATTCTATGATAATGATGAAGACACAAAACTGCAGTCTCATCAAGTATCTATGTTTATTTTGGAGTTTTTTTAATGGGATATGTTAAAGAAAAAGGTGATGTGTTTAAGAAGAAAAGAAGGGAAATAAAACACTAGTGGGGCTTGCAGGAAACTTTAGCCCCTCTGTTCTTGAAATCCTTTTTGAAAAAACATCTTTAGCAAAAAAGTGCAAGACAAGTGCACGCCAGAGCCTCCACCAAGCTGGGTCAGTGCTCTTTGCTTACGGGAGCCCTGAGGTAACAAATCATCTTCCAAGCCGTGGTGCTGATTGTGAACGTAACCCTGGCTGCTTTTCAGATGCAGTTATACTGTTGTGTGCTTAGATCAAGTTTGTTTATTTTTAGAGGTAAACCCTTGTCTGTGCTTCAGCAAGCAGAGTTGGGCACAATTCCATCACAGGTGTTTTATTGAGGACTTGATCTCAGTTTTATTCTAGTGGAAGAGAAAGCAAAAGCTGGCACTCTGTGCTGGCTTCAGCAAAGGCACATTTGAAAGGGAATCAACCGAGCTGTAGTAATAAATGAAGCCTTGGCCTTCTTTCAGGCCGCACTATCTCCTTTTTCCTATGTTGTCTTGAGGCTTTAACTTTTCAGTTAAAGTTAATTGAATGAGACAGTGATACAATGCACAGTGAAACGAGATCAATCACTGCACAAGACAAAATAGGAGTCACAATGATACTCGGAACAAGAGCTTGGGAAATGTGATATTTACATTAAAATATTTAACATTTTTGTCTCATGGTTTAAAAACCAATTTTTAAAATGCCTTACCATATTGAATAACAAATTTCTTGCTGCTTATCTGTATGCGTTTGTGTGTGTACATTTGGACAACAAAATTGAATAATCACAAAAGCAAATTTAGTAATAATGGGGTATTTTCTACACACAGTTACACAGCCTCAATTGCAGAAAATGTAAAACAGAAAAACTCACAATATAGAAAGTTATTCTGTTCTCTCAGAGCCAGTCACATGACAGTGAGCTGCATATAAAGCTGTAGAATTTACTCGCTCATATTAAGTGGCAACAGAGAATTTGACTGCTATCTTTTCCATCTTCCTTCCCTTTAAATATTTACCTGGATATTGTTTCTGACTCTTAGAGTGCCGTTAAAACTTGTCATTACTAGTCACTTATGTTAACTACTTGCATGGAAAAAAAGGACTTGCTCCTTACAAAATGGATAACTGAAAGCAAAGACTTGATTTTATGTTCATGATCTGAGTGCTGCAAAAACAACAGAAAGCCTTAATCAGTGTTTTCAGGGTTATAGAAATTCTTAGCTCAGTATCTAAACCCTCAGAGTTTTCAGGGAGTCAAAGGGCTTTCTTTTCCTGTCAGTATGTAAAGCACAATGGCACAGAGAAAGTAATCCTGCAGGAATACAAAAATGAAGTGGTGTCATTTCATCAGGTGCTTTTCCATCAGGAACAGGGATATGGGGCAGTTTATATTCTGCAGCAGCTGTTTTTCAAGAACCACCCCCCATTTCACAAAACCACCCCACACCCTCCTACCCCCCAAAAGGATTAAAACCCATGATTTCTCCAGGGGAATCTGATCTCTTCTTTCTTCACTTTCTGATCTGGCTGTAGTTCCAGAAAGTGATGCCCTGGTATTGAAAAATTAATACACTTTAATGATGAATATAGTAGAGGGGGGGTTTTTTCTGGATTATGGGGTTGTTTGTGGATTTTTTTCCCTTTTGAAAACTTGACAGATGCATCTCTGGTTTCAGTGAAAGACTTGAACAATATAAACAAGCAGTCGTTCTGTGCCAAGAGAAGCTTTTTTTTTATAATCTTATTTTATTGTAATTACCTTATTGTTTTAATATTATGAGCTACTTGTAGAAAAATACAGGAAACATGACTGCAATACAATCCTTTAATCAGGAATAGCTTTGTTGCAGTCATCATTTCCATTCAGTGTTGAAACTTTGGCTAATAAGAATAGAATCAACAATACCTTGAGTTTAGGTGTAATATGGTGTTAATATTATGGTTTCATTTGGCCTCTGTACCTAGTATCTTCTGTAGATGAACCTTTTTAAAAGTGCCTATGAGATTTTTGTCTGTAATGCTGTTTTCAAGTAAATTAACAAAGTTATGTTTCTTAAAAGGACACCAATTTCTTCCGGAGGGACACTTAAAATCTTTTAACCCACGTCAGGTGGGGAATTTGTATTATCATATATATTAAATCTTCCATTGTTTTTCCCTTTTTCTTTTTTTCCTCACAGATTATGCCCTAATACACTTACTGCATTATTGTCAAAGCTTGTAAATTTTTAAAGGAAAAATATGAGGGTTTTTATACCTAGATGGCTTCAACATACTAGTTGTTTGTGTGATCTCTGTGTATAATCCGCACTGCAAATACTTCCCTTTTACTGATTTGCAGCCTACCCCAGCCTTATTTTGGCCTGCTCAGCAGATGAGAGTTTATGTCTTTGAATAAAGGGCTGGAATTAAGTAAATTTTTTTTTTAGATAATCTGTTTTAAGAAAAAGCATTTGTCCACGACAGTTAAAAGACTGCTCCCAAGCTGTTCAAAAGCAGAATGCAGCTACATACAGCAGGTCATGGCAATTCATTTTTGTGCTTCCTAGTAGTTTTTTTTGTTTTTTTAATGGGAAGTCGAGATCTTAGATAAGACTTAGTTTCAAAGTATGTTTTTGATAAAGATTATAGATGTAAAAGTTTTACTTACACATCATTTATAAAAATGAAAATCTAAGTTTTATGATATAGCTCTTATGACTTAAAACTAGGTGATATTAAAACACTTCACTTCTAGCTAACGGCTTGAATTAGGGCTGAATAAAAGGCAATTGTTTTTATACTGAAATTATTATTTTATGAAGGATTTCCTTGTTTCCAGACACGTATATATACACACACGTATGTAAATTAAACTGAACTCCAGATACAAGACACACCTCCATGAGCATATTAGAGTCTGATCCAAATTTTATCAAAGTTAGTGGGCGTCTTTCCCATTTCAAACCAGATTTTGCAATCCATATGCACACGACCCTCCAGGGGATCCCTCAAGTTGATGCAGTTTTGCATGACTTGGCCCTAAATGTCTGCTGCAGTTTCAAAAAGCCCATTACAGGGCTGCAGTAGGAAATCATTTAGGCTAATTTAAGGAAATCATGGCATTTTTTATATTTTCATATCATTTTGTTCTGATCCATCTGTTTACTCTCTTCTGAAGGCAGGATGAAACGTTTTTTAGCCTAAAGACTGAACTAGTAAAACTGCTGCCTGGAATAAGTCGTGTTTGTTTCACATCCCCTTCTTCATTGCTATATTTCCTTTGGTGGATTTCCTCTGCTCCTGGAAGCAAGCTGTCTAGCTTTCTTGTGCACTATTATGAAGAAGAATTTCCTACAGGATGAGGTGATTTTGGAAGTTAACATGACCTGAACCACATATGATCAACAGAGAGCATCTGAAAAATGTGGCATGCAGTATTACAAGTTAAAAAAAATCTACACTCACAAGGTGCTCCTTAGCTCCACCGCTGGTCAGATGGGGGAAGAGGGAGAGAGGAAGCAGTCCTTGCATTTTTCTGGAAAACCTGCTGTATTACCACCATAAAGTCAAATGCAAGAGGAGAATTCAGCCGTAGCTTTGTTGTTCTGTAATCAAGCTGGGTTTGTTTGGGTTTCTTTAAACTTAGACAGATATAATGTTAGTATTTATTGCTACAAAGACACACAGCTTGTGAGAAGTGATGATATATTTTATTCAATCAACACATACATTTGGAAAAAGCTAACTGTTTAAACACTATCTTCCAATTCAAAAGAAAGATACAGTCAGGTTTTGCATTCAATTAGAAATCAGTTAAAGGAGCTTTTGTCTTTGTTTAATTGTTACATTATTTTTTATAACTGGTTGTGGGATTGCTTTGGTGTGGTAGCACTTTTAAGAATACTTGAACAGTAAGGTAAACATGACCAAAGTCTTGGTTTCAGTAATGGTTTCAAGGCAATTTTTTTTTCATTTATGAGATATTTAGACTTTTATTTGCATGTGGATATTCAAAATACTCTAGGAAAAAAATATGTACACGTTCAAAAGCTTTATGTTACTGGTGTTTGCATATGTACTGGTGTTGCCCATATCCATAACAGTCTTTCAGCATCATTTGTCTGTGATCATGTTTTTATTTGAAAGAGACTAGTTATCATGTTTGCTCTGTGATTTACATTATTTAAACAAATGGGGGAAAAGAATTTGAATCAGCTCATTCACTAGCATGACTAAGATGTACAATAACTTCTTATAAAATGTTCACCGTTGTATGGCTTTAAGGCTGGAGTTCAAACCCTCTGTGTACATACAAACAAAGAATAACTCTTTCCATCTGAAACAGCCTGGTGAAAGGATGCTGCCTCCTGGTGATTTAATAGGCATATGAGCTTCCACTAAAATTGCATCTTCAAGAGAAATAGTTCATCCTTGGAAGAGTCCAATGGTGGGGCGCAGTCCATGCTCAGCTCACAGGGAAGCAGGAGCAATGGGGAGGCCATCAGAGTGGGGAAGGTAACAGTCCTTGCAGTGCCTCTCTCTCTTCTTTTCCACAGGATTTTCTGCAAGGAGACTGCAGCAAAGCCAGGCAAAAGCTGAACTGGAAGCCGAGAGTCACGTTTGATGTGAGTGGCCTTTCTGGCATGCTTTGTACCTGCTGGGTGTTCGTGTCCTCTAAAACAAATTTGCAGGGAGGGAAAAAAGGAGGGGGGATACCTCTGTGTGTGGTGACCTGGGCACGCTGAAAAAAACCATTTTCAGTGCCTTTGCGTGGATCCTTGTTTTGAAGAAAGCAGACACTGTGGGAGCAATGGACACCCCAGTGCACAGCAGGGCCTGGGCCAGAACTGCTGTGGGCACAGCCCAACAAAGCCTCTCCTTCTGCTGTTGTGGGGGGCTTGTTATGCTCTGGGGCATTCCTGACATGCTGCCCATTTGTCCCTGCACTGGGGCCCTCATCTGCCTCTCTCCTTTCCTGCAGGAGCTGGTGAGGGAGATGGTGGACGCTGACGTGGAGCTCATGAGGAACAATCCCAATGCCTGAGCCCTGGCTGGGCCCGGCAGGTATCACAGGACCCATGCCACAGATGCAACCCATGGCCAGCACTGCCATGAGCCACCAGGGTGGGCAGCTGCCCCTCCCTGTGATGGTTTTATTGTTGGCCTGCCCGTGTGTAAAAGACCAGCTTTATTCCTGCCTCCACCCTCTACATCCACCCAGTGCCTCTTGCCCCACACATCATCCTAGGGTCAGCTCTGCCTGGGCTAAATCTGTCTTCTGCCATTAACTGGGGAAGGATCATACTGTACCTGAAAAATTGATCAGCCAGCAAAACCGTTGATTTCATTTTTAATTGAGACTTATCTTTCTATACTCTAGGATCTCCAGCACATTTTTGGTACTTAATCCCATTTGAGAAACAAAACATTCCCTGCTCCCCACTCCTCCCCTCTCCACATCAGCAGACCTTTGTTGCAAATATGGGCTCACCATGCCTCCAGACCTTGCTCCACAGCTTCCCCTTTTTGCCTTTCCTGAACACTCCTTGTTTTTCTTTCCTGCAGCCTTACCTCCACCCCAGCGGCCCATTTCCACCACCTGAATTCTGTAAAAGTTTGGATAACTTGATATAACTTGCAGTGAAATCGCCTTTTGACCATGCTAAATTAATTCCTAATTGCTGGAATCGCTTTCAAACCAGTCAAGCTGGGGCTTGTATATGTTTTTCAGATCTTCATTTCAGAGTGTGCATGAGTCACAGAAAGCCTTTTTGTCCAGCACCTTCTCAATCTGGGGAGATTAGGGTGTTTTGGTTTTTGACCCCCTCCCCCAAGAATCAACCCATTCCCCTTCCACCCTCTTCCTGCTTACCATAATTAAACCTCAGACAGGAGCGTGAACCATTTCAAAAGATGACTTAAGAAATAAAAACAAAATAAATAAAAAAAAGCTTTAAAAAAATAGAAACTTCAAGGTGAGTAAATATTTTTTTGCTTTTTGTGCCAAGGTACCTGGGTTATCCAGAGGTCGTCAAGCCCATACATTTCCCGTTGGTTTAGGATCTTCCACCCACCAATTACTCCCATCATTTTAACTTTATGCCTGGAAGTGAGCGAAGAGCAAGATGCACAGGAGGGAGACACTCCTGCTTTTTAACTTCGTATGGGGGAAGACCTTCATGTTAAGAGGGGGGCAATCGCGGGATGGGGGAGGGGTGTAGCTATGCCCGGGAGCAGTCCCATGATGGAAGTGATGCAGGTGACAGGAGGGAGCCCGACAGCAGCCTAGGGGGAGCCGGGAGGGAGCTCCGTGCGACATTTGCCGGAGGTGCCGTGGGAAATGCGCGGAGTGGAGAGCGCCCGGGCAACCGGAGCAGCCGCTTCCTTTGGGGCTGTTCCTTCGAAAGCGCGAATGGGGAAAGGGAAACGTGGGAGCCCGGCCGCTGCTTGAGACCCTTCCTACAGGTGCACAGAGTACGAGCCCTCGTAAGGCGGAGAGGAGAGGAAGCTGCGGAGACAGAAGGATGTCCCTGTTGCGCTCCCTCCAAGCATCTCCCCACGCGTGTGAGGCGCTCCAGCCCGCACGCAGTTACCGCGGCGCCCGCGGGGCTCTTCCAGCACAGACCAATGCCGAGCAGGTCGCGGACACTCAGTCCGGAGGCCTGGACCGGTCCACGGCATCATGCACACATTGCCACTCACCTCCCGTGGGTGTATTTATAAAGAGCCTCCTTGGGTGTTTTTCTTCTCGAACGGGTACAACTCCACGGCTGCACCTTTTTTTTGTTTTTTTTTTTTTTAGATTAAAATAACACTAAGCCCCCTTTCCCGTGGGTGCATGTGCTTGCATTGGCTGCACTCTCCCGCAGCGTTCGCACCGCGTGGATCTGCTACAGCCCCTGCAGGACGTGCTGGCCGCGGTGCCGTGGGCACCCACGCGTGTGTGCGGCCGCAGGGCTGCGCTCTGTGCTCTGCGGCTGCACCGCACACCCCGCCACGGCCGAGCGGGGCTCCCGTGGCCAGCGCTGCCCCCCCTCCGTCCCGGGGCCGCGGCGAGTGGCGCAGGGGAGGGGGCGAGCTCCGCCTGCCCGCCGCACCGAGGGCTGCCCCCTCCGCAGCGCCTCGTCCGGGCGGCCACAGGCTGCGGGTGGCGGGTCTTTGGTGGCGAACGGAATCATATTTTTTAAAAGTATCCCAGGGCTTTTATGACAAGGCATTTTTATGTCTTTGCGAACTATTTTTTTGCTTACAGTGATTCACTGGCAGGCTTGCTGGTACATTTGAATATTAGTTTACACATCTTTGCCGAGGACTGGGAGCTTCGACTTCAGGGTTTTTTCTTTGGCATCTCTCACTGTAGCATACTCCAGAGAAGCATTTTACTTCTCTGGTTTCTCTGTCTATATTGGGGAACAAATTGGGATAAGAATGGGAAAGCGAAAACTGATTCTAGACCAAGCGTTCCCTCGCAGTGGCCTAGTGCTGGGTGACTTTCTGCTGCCTTTGTAGGGACAAAAAAAAAAAAGTACTGACAGGACAAAATGCACGCTGCCCCGCTGCTTTTTACCATTTGGCAAAGCTCAGAACTGCTTTTCGGTTCCCCCAACACTACCTTCCTGCCTGATTCTTAATTGCTTCTAAAGTCCTGCTCTTTGACCACGTGATCACATCTTTAAAACGAAATCAATAATAACTTATAAGCAATTCAAAACAAACCACTAACAAGCTTCGACTTAGGGCTATGATATGGTATATGATGATATGGTATATGCAGCTGACTTGTGCTGTCTACATCAGTTTCGTGCACGTCAAGCCTTTTTTTCGTGCGAATTCGAAAGATACATCCCCTCTTGCCTGTCTCTGGTCTCATATGGGGACACTGCATCTTCGTTAATGGAAAAGAGCAGCTCCAGCAGTAAATAACCGAGCAGGCCCCCAGTTCCTCGCGTCTTTCGCAAGCTTCCAGCCATCCACAGAAGCATCACCCAACAAAGCAAACGACAAGGTGGGTTTAACCTTTCCCGGAACCGCAGCGGCACCGGCGGGGAAAGGCCGGTTGGTGGCCAGGGCCAGAATATTGACACTCTGCACTGCCCGGGGCCGGGAATACGGACATGGGACCCTGCCGGGAATCCCCGCCCGGGCAGCCTGTTCCATTGCGTCGTGGGAGCGGAGAGTTCACCCTGCGCCGCTGCTGCGGGGAGAAGAAGCTGGATAGCAATGGCAGCGCTGAGTGGTGGGGGCTGCCCGGGAGCACGCCCCGTCAGGAAGAGGGGACTCGGGTGGGCAGGGAGAGGAGAGAGGGTCCAGCTCCTGCCCGGCGGGCTGCAGAGGACCGGGGCCCGCTGGGGAAGGCCGGCCTGGCCCTGCCTGCGGCTCCCTGCCCGGCAGCGCCAGGAATTACGAGCAGCGACGGCCGGGCTCGCTCCCCCGCGCCCGCCGCCTGTCAGCGCCGCCGCCGCCGCCCCACGTCTCTTAGCTATAACTCAGCCCCTCGCCTCCGCCATACGGGCCGCTGCCCTCCCCCAGAACCTGTCTTGACAATGGTAAAAGTACCACTACAGCTCCTTTGAATTTTTTTTTTTTCCTTTCACTTGAGGCCTTTCAAGCGCCACTGGCCACTCGTGGGCTTGCAGACAGCAAGGAGCTCGGCGGCGGCCTGAGGTGGGGTGGCCCCACGGGGGCACAAGCCCTTGTCACTTCTGCCAGCTGGCCGGGCCGGGCCGGGGGTCGGCACTGCTCTGCCCCGGGGCCCGCCGCCGACACAGCCGGCCCACCCGCCGCCCTCCTCCCCGGCCCCGCTGCGGAAGGCCGGCGAGACAAAGCGACGGGGTTTTCCTCGGGGTCGCAGAGCAAAACCGCCAGCGCCATCTAAAAATACACCTCGAAGCCTGGAGCGCAAGCCCGAAGGGTAAAAGTAAATGGGGGCTGAAGGCAGCGCAGCCCCGCTCCTCGGGCACGAACACGCCGGCTTAAGGGTGGTGGTGGGAAGGGGCTCTGCGGCCGGATCTGGTTGCTCTCGGAGACGCATCGAGGGCTGTAAGGGTATTTAGAAAAATAAAATTTAGGTGTAAATTAGGAGAATGGAAGAGTCTGCCGCAGCCACCACCTCCCCCCAACGCCTTGCACATAAAGCAGCCACGTCCCCCCCGGGCGGACATGAGGGTCACATCCTCTTCCCGCTACTCGCCCGGCCGGGAAGGCGTGCTCAGGGCTGCCCCGGAGGAGCGCAGGGAGAGGGGCACCGGGCGGGGGTCGCCGCCCCTCCCGCCTGTGGGTGGCAGGTTTGCAGGGGTGGGCGGCAAGGGGAGGGCCCCGTGGGCTCGCAGGGCCGCGCTCCTGCCTCCCCTTATGACCCCCCTTCACCTCTGATGGTTCGCTGGCGGAGCATTGTCTCCAGACACAACAAAACCAGGACGGAGCCCTGGAGCAGGCAGGGCTCCAACGTTTTGACGGGTGGAAGAAAAACATCAACAGATACTTTGCAATTATTTGGTGATGGGGGCTAAGGAGAGGCGGGCGGGGGAGAGGTCTCCTCAGCAGCAGACGCTAATTGCAACCTTTGCTGTGCTAATGAGCTCGCACCGGTGCATTCCGCGCTCCATCACCGTCCCACCCCCCCGGCGGAGCCCTTGGGGGGTAGGAAATGGCGTCGGTAGAAAGTCGTAATTTTTCTGCAATTCGTTATTCGGTTTTAAATCCATCCCATCCTTGAGAGGCGAGGCTAGAAGCGCTGGCCGCCAGCACTTTCATAAATCCTCGCTTGGGGAAAACGGCGAGCAGCTCCTCGCTGGCAGGGGCGAGGTGTGTGCGAGCGCCCGGCCCCGTCCCCGTCCCAGTCCCACTGCCTGCGCCCCGTCCCATGCCGCGGGCAGCCGGGCATGCCCGGCCCGGGGCAGCCGGGCATGCCCGGCCCGGGGCCGCGGGGCTGGCAGGGCAACGTGTCCTCCACAGCTTACGGCTTTAGCCTTCTCACAATCGGACCGGGGGAAAGGCACATAGAGAACGCATACAGAAAACAGAGTTCCACTCGAAACTCGCATCAAAACGGCACTGGGAATGTATTTATACTGCGCAATCTTGCAAGCACCGACATTGTTTAAACAATTCTCTTCTGCTACGGACAATATTATCAGTACTTTTACATTATCGTTCAATGGAAAACATCCTTCATTTTCCTTACTTTAAATATTTATTTAAAAAACGAAAAAGAAGAAAAAATAAAACTCGGCAGTTTAAATGTCCTGGCAAGGAAAAAAATTCCAGGAACGTTTTGGGAAAAACGCTTATGGCATTTTTTTTCTGGTCCGAGCACTTGCCTTCCGAGGGATGATGGCTGTAGTGATACGACCTGTTTATTCATCGATTCATATAATATATAAATATCCTGAACTCATGAGTGTAATAATTTGCGTTTTTTCTACTGGAGGAAATTCAGCTATTTTGAGAGTTAATGGTTCTAAATGTGTTGGTTTTCCTGGATTCTCCCCAGAGGTGATGGGGGCTGGAAAGGAGGGGGGATTCCAGTTTGGGGTTTTCGCTGTTGTTGTTTTAATTCTGCTGAACGCAATCTAAAGCAGCTGACCTGAACGTGGGGTGATACACGGCACAGCCTAGCCCCCTGACACCTAAAGGTCAGGTGAAAGTCTCCAGCAGGTAAGTTGTGGGCCGGCTGCCTGCCCAGCTCACTTGCTCTCTGGCTCACAAATTGTTCCCTCCTGCCCACCCAAGTCGTTTCAAGCTGTGTTTGTTTAGGGGGAAAAGAAAAATTAAAAATCGCCGAACACCCAATTCTCTTTCAGCCGGGGAGCTCTCACCGGTAGCTCCGTCTGCCTTCCCTTCGCTCTCCATCCTCCCAGTGCTTTTTAACAGCTATTACTTTGTGGCACACGCATACTAAACAAGGCGCAAGTTACGGGCCTAGAAGGTAGCAGAGGTGTGTGCAGTAGATGCGTTGGCTTGGGGGGCGAGGGAGAAATCCCCCCCACTCCCCAAAGACCCTGACTGCTGAACGGAGGGAGGGGGCCTTTGCCGGCTGCTTCCCAGGCCCGCACACCACAAAACACTGGCGTAGCAGGCCGGGATGAAAAAATGTCCTTAGGACCGCAGGGGCTTCCCCGCGGTGCTGTGCTGCTGTCTCTTCCCTGAACACCGCGACCCTCCGACGGGGCTGTTCCTCCGAGCCCGACTCTTCCCGGCCAGTCGGGCGTCCGGCGACCACCACCTCGCAGCCGCTTGCCAAACTGCTGGGCGCCAGCAGCTTTAGCACGGAACTACACTCAAGGAATTAGTTCCAAGTGGCACTGGGGGCTCCCCCTCCGGCCGGACTAGTCGGAGTTACCCTCGGGAGATCTTGGGCTTACTCCTCTGGCCGTCCAAGCCTGCCTTCCTCGTTAGGAAATGAGGGGGTCTCCCAGGCTCGTCCCACAGGCACCCGATCCTGAGGGTGATCCAGGTGCTCCTACTACCTGCCCTACCAGCCCCGGCCTAGGACAAAGCCTGCCCGCTGCCCCAGGCACGTGTGTATAATTTTAAGGGGGAATGGGGGGCGCAGCAATGCTGCGAGGGGTCCCCAGCGCCTCCACCAGGGTACGGGGCTGCCGCCCGGCCCCGCAACTACCGGGTAAGGAGCCGGCCCTCTCCCCCCGCCTCCATGCGGCTATTGTTTCGTTCAATTAGGCTCCGCTTGATAAAAAACAATCGCTCGTTAACCCTCGCCCTCCTCCCTCCTGGCTGGTGTGTTGTGAATGGCGACATCGTCTCCCTTGACCCCCGTCTCCTTTTCTGTCTTTCTGTCCCCTGAAAAATGATTCCGCGAGCTCTGATTGAATTTTATTCCTTCCTGACCTGGCCCGTTTTTATTGCATGGACACCATCAATCTTGACCTAACGCGACGTTTGTTTATTACTTTGGAAAGAAGCGAATGGCTTTATGAGCCCCAGCGTAATTAAACCAGAGGACTACGTTCACCGTGGCACCGCACCACCTTTGGGGCGGATTCACAACAGACAAGACGCCGGGGAGGCTAGGCAGAAGGGAAAAGGGAAAAAAAAAGGCAGGGGGGAAACCTGTGCCGGAATGATGACTGGTACCCTCCCAGCCCGTGAGCTTGTGACCGAGATACCGGATCGAAACCTGGGCGCGTCCCCGGGGAGCTCCGAGCAGTTCCCTTACACCACACTTCGGGCAGCTTACCGCGTAAACTTGAGCTCGCCCTGCGCGCTACCCCGACTGCCCGCTACCTGTGCCCCCGCGCAGCGACAACTCAGCCTGGGACGCCCTGACAGCGCCTACCATCGTGCTCCTCATCTCCCTCCTAGCAAAAAAAAAAAACAAAACCCAAACAAAAACCAACCACCAAAATACACCAAACAAAACAAAAACCAACCCAACTCCCTCTCCCCCAGCTCCCCCAGCCAAAAAAAAAAAAAAAAAAAAAAAAAAAAAAAAAAACCGAATCAAAAGATAAGCACATCTCAAAGTGTGGGTGAATTTAGCCAACGTGCCCGATCCCAGCACAGGGAGACGGGAGAAAATGGACTGAGTACGCGGAGGAGTTTAAATTACTTTACGAGTGAAATTAATTGAAAGCTAATGTTCAATTAGCCGTCGCTGCTGAAATGGTTTATTTCGGGAAGTGGACGGGGGAGAGCTTCCAGGGGCCGCACCGCAGCTCTCCTGCGCTGTGCAGTGGAACCATGTGCGCGCCTCGGCGCTACATGCTTTTGCCTACGCAATCAAACGACGTAATAAAGACTGCGCACTCTTCCTCACGCTCATCTTTACGTGGGCGCGGACAGGCGCGCAGCCCCTGTGCTCCACCGCTCCTGTCCGCGCAGCGGCACCGCCGCGCAGCCTCCCGCAAAACCCGCAAAACCTTCAAAACCCGCACCGGTTTTCCCGTGCGCCGTGCGCGACTCGCCCAAAACGTCCAAGCCAAGTCTCCAGAGGACAGGACGAAACTCTAAGCTCGTCCTGCTCCAGCGGCGTATTTTTGGGGAGGTCAGAGCAGCCCACAGGCAGCTGGTCAAAACGCTGCAGCCCCAGAGTTACCAACAGTGTTAGGAAGCTGAACCCGGCTATGAAACTAGCCGCTAACTTCAAAACGCCTTTCCCAATTTCTTGGCTATCAGAAAGGGCCCCAGATATCATAAAACGCCGATTTTGAACCACTCCCTTAAATGTCTCCATCCACAATACAACCTCTCTCTGACCTGGCCTGTGGAGGTAGAGAAGGGGTTTTATTTAATCCATGTCCTCTCGACTATTTGCATGTACTTCTCTGCTATTTTTGATTATGACCTTTGCAGAACATAATAGGAACTGTAATTACTTTAAGAAGAAATTCTAAGGAGGAAACTTAGAAAGGAGAATATTTCTCCTCTCTACGTTTTCCACAGTTCAAGTGAGAGATGAGCAAGTACAAGTGAGAAACCACCAGAACCACCACGTAAATGGAATGGTTCCTCAAATTTATATTTGAAAACAAAACAAAACAAAACAAAACAAAACAAAACAAAACAAAACAAAACAAAAACAAAGTTGTTTTGTTTGGTTTTCTCATAGATGAAAAGCAAAGCGACAGGTTAGGGGAAAAAAAATCAGTTTGAGCTAAAAAACCCCTCAAAGTGCCTTGCTAACCTGGCGCCTAAATGACTTCTCCGCAGGCATGGCTGGGGCCAAATGTCCCCTTTTGCTGTAGGGGCTGCCACCACAGATGTCGAAGCCTTACGGGGACACCTCTCAGCTGCTGCCCGGGTGCATGTCCCGTGCCCACCGCTGCGCAAGGTCGGACCGCATCTCTTTTGGCGTTCAGGACAGGCCCAGTTCTGCTGGGAGACAATCACAGGTCAGAAGGGACGCTCGGGTTTGCCTCTTGTGCGCAAGAGGAGAGAAGCACAAGACGAACAAGGGTTTGTGCCCCATGCTGGGACCCGCTGCCCCTAGTCCATAGTGACCCGCGGGCAGACGCTCCACTCCGTGCCCCCCAGTTGCGCTGCCCCAGCCCGGGAAGGTTTCTAGTGAGCCTGCTCGGCCTTTCCCGATCCCAGCAGCAGCCGCAATGCCTCATGCCGAGGGCTCCGGCCCGGCCGAGTCCGGAGCTGCCGACCCCCGTCCATGCAATGTCGCGCTGGGACCCGCGGTTCCGGACTGCGCGCCCCGCGGGCCACCTCCCACAGCGAAGCCCGCACTTTGTACTGCCTACCGCGGGCACCGCTAGCACTGCTAATCTTATTTTCGTTGTGATCAATTTCTATACGGAGAGGGAGAAAAAAATATTTTGGTTATGATTATGGTAATAATATTTAAACAATGTTTTTAAAACTCAAGACGAAGCACTCGTGCGCGGTGAGCCAGCCCGTCGCACTGAAGAGCAGGAGGTGACCTCCGCCGCCACCACGCACGTCACTTCAGGAAAGGGATCTCCTCCGGGGGCAGAAGATCCTACACGACCTACCTGCGACCGAGAGGGAAGTTTCCCTTTGCCCCCTCCCTGACTGCCAGCCGCCCTCCCGGCTCGCCGAGCCCACACCACCCGCCCCTTTCGCAGCCAGCGCCACGGGTAGCGCAAGTTGCGCGGCCGCCCCGCGGCAGAGGGCCGCGGACCGCCCCGAGAATTAGCAGTAATTACACACGGCGCTTGTTCAAGCTACGCACGGCCCCCCCAGCTTCCCCAGCCGAGCAGCACCACTGACAATGCAACGGGTTATTAAACAAGCCGGGCTGACAACTGCTTTCCCCCCTATTTATTTTCGCCACAAACACCCTACCGCTGCAGACCGCTGAGAAAACCCAAACTACAGGAAAGCCGGCGCCTGATCGCAACAAAAATAACAGGCAAATAGCAGACTCGATCGCCTCTACCCTCTGCCTTCTTTAAATTTTATTTTAAATACATGACGGGGGGCAGGAATGGTCTTATTATGCAGCCACCCCTCTGGCAAACCCATCTGCCAGGACAGAGGGAGCTACCCCGCCGAGGGTCCCCTCTCCAGCAAGGGGGAGAGGGGGCGTAAGCAGTGAAAGCCCTGCCGTGCCTCTGGCCCGGTAGTCCCGCTCCGGCGGCGGTGGGCGGGAGCCGCCACTTTAGCTGCCCTCCGCTTGGTACTGGGAGAGGGACGAGCCGAAAGTGAGCCCGACCGAGCTTCCCTTTACTGGTGAAAAACGGGGAGTAGCAATTAAAATATGTCCCCGGAGCGAAGGCGCTCAACTTTGCTCGTCCTCCTCATCAGCTTTACCACAAGCGTGCAATGGAGCGTTTGAGGTTCTCTTACCCAACTTAGCAAACAAATAAATGTAAATAAGGCCGGTAATCTTTGCAGAGGTACTAGCACGAAAAAGCAAAGACTATGCCCTACTTAAATAAAAGCATTCTAAGCCAACACGTTCAAAGATGACACACTCCCTCCAGTTCATTCCATCTGCTGAAGGTGTTTTCTAAACATTGGACTGTTGTTTTGGAAGGGAAGCACAGCTCAAAAGCAAGGTAATAAGGTTGAACTGTAAATACCTTTGTATTTATTTACAGCGTAACACTTAACAATGCAACAGCAATTACTGCTAAGTGTTGCCTTTAGATAAGAGATTCTGATAGGAAACTGTATTATCTTGAAAGCAAATTTTAGGCCTTAAATATCTATAATCAAATAAACTTATTTCCAAGTCTGACTGACAAGGCTGATTCTTTTAAGTTAATGGATTTATTGCATATTGGTGGTTACTTACAAAAGGGGAAGGTGATCCCCATTGACCGTAGGTTCTTAATAGTAAATAGTCCAGAAGGTAGGATTCTTGATAAGACAAGATGCCAGTCTGTGCAGCACTCATTTGCTACCCTGGTAATATTTTTTTTTTCCGATTTGAGGAAAACTGAGGGAGGTAAGGAAAGAAAAAAACAACGAAAAACCAAACCAAAACAGCACCCAAACAACTGTATAAGAAAAATGCACCCACACAAAATATTTTAAAAATAATTTCAGTCCGAGCAATTGACATACAGACTAATAAAGTCCCTGAAGGACGGCAGTAATTCAGAGCTATAAAGGTGTAAGAGTAGACTGTACAAGTACCCTTTAACCCAACTACTCTTCCCCCCCTCCCCCCGAAATAAAATAGTACTTTAAGTATTACAGAAGCGGCTTCACTGATGTGATTGCACGCCTTCCTATCAATTCTAAGAAGCGGTGATTTGTATGCTGGCATTATATTTAAGAATACACGTACTACAGATTATTTGGCATCTGCTATACATGGGAGTTTAGAAAAATATGCAATGCGTATATGAAACTATAAATAAATACGTAATCCTTCTTTAAATATAGGTACATATGTAAATCCTAGATATAAATACATTTGAAACACACACAGAGCGATCGATAGTTCGAAATATAGAGTTACACATGGTCTGGAATCTGGTGCATGCACTTCTACCTCGGAGTTATCACTTAATATATCCTTACATAGGCATATTATTTAAAACAACGGAATGTCGCCATACTCCTGTGTATGGTCAAATGTTTCCAGGTCTTGCCATTAATTGCTAAGAAAACGTGTTTGTTTATTTGCCAACTCAGAGCTGCCATGGGAAAGTATTTTTTTCCTAGCGGATAAGGCGAGCTGACTAAGTGGAACGTATTGCAGAAGAGACTGAAAAGGGATTTTTCGACCTGGCAGTTCCTAAATGGTCTTCGGAATTTGTGCGGAGGGGAACAAGCTGTTCCAACGACAAAACTAGTTATGAAATCCTTTTTCCCTCTCTTTCTTTCTCTCTCTCTAAATGAAAGCATTAAAATATACAGACGTGTAAAGGATCATTCCAACTGAATGGTAATTTATTAATAAACAAACAATGCAATACCTTCAGAATATTTTCAACAAAAAAAAAGAAAAATATTGATAGAATAAGATTAATACAGTTTCCCTTTTTATATATAGTGAAAAAAAAATCAGCGTTTCAGTCAATTTTAACGTCACTTTTCAGGAAAGGGGGAAACACTTTCTGGTGTTTGGTCCGCAACATCCAACTACAAATTAAAAATAAATTACTATGTCGCAATTTACATTTTAAAACAAGTCCTTGTAGAAGAGGAAGGGGAGGAGGAAAAAAGCTGGTACTCTACGCTGGACTTTTCGCTCCCTTTTAAACACGGGACATGACAATACCTTAAGGGACGGGGAAGAGCGCCGGGTGGGGGGCGGGAAAAAAGTATTTCTCAAAGCAATTAGGAAAAAAAAAAAAAACTTACGTGTTATTGGAGTAACACTGTCCTTTAACAAACCAAGACATGCTTTGGGGCTGTCTCTGTACAAAAGCTTTTCGCGATGCGCTTGCTTCCCTCGGCGGGCGCTGCGGGGGCCGGTGGCGCGGTGCGGAGCGGAGTTCCCGCGGTGTCCCCGCGACAGGGCGCGCTCAGAACTTGCCGCAGTCATAGACGAAGGCCCCGGAGGTGCGGTAAAGCGGCTGGCTGCCGGGGAAGGCCATCTGACAGCTCCCGCCGCCCCCCGCCCCGCCGCCTCCGCCTCCGCCGCCCCCTGCCCCGCTGCCTCCGCCGCCGCCTCCGCCGCCGCCCGGCGAGGCGCTGAGCCCCAGCCGCGGCGCCTCGAAGACCTCTCTCGGGGCTGCGGCGAAGCCCTGCTGCGGCCCCGCGTAGCCCGCCGCGCCCGCCAGCGGGCCCAGCTCCCCCGCCGCCGCCGCCGCTGCCGCCGCCGCCGCCGCCGCCTGGTTGAGGTACCAGGAGGCCAGGCGGCCCTGGTGCGGGTGCGGGTGGTGCCCCTCCTGGTGGCCGCCCGCCGCGCCGCCCAGCCCTCCGTGCCCCAGCGCCCCGCCGCCGCCGCCCCCCGCCCCGCCGCCGCCGCTGCCGCCGCCGCCGCCCGAGGGCATCGCGTACTCGGGCAGCGGGTCCTCGGTGGGGCTGGCGGCCGCGGCGGGCAGGTGGCCGGGCCGGTCGGCGCCGCCCGCCGCCGCGTAGAGGCTCATGGCCTGCATGTTGCAGTGGTAGGTGCCGGCGGCGGCGCCGGCGGCCGCCTGGCCGCAGGGCGAGCCGTAGACGGAGCTGTGTCCCGGCGAGTATCCGCCGAGGGACAGGGCGGGCGGGATGCCGGTGCGCGGGGCCGCGGCGGCGGGGGCCAGGAGGCCGGCGCCCAGCTCGGCGGCGGCCTGCGGCGAGCCCCGCAGCGAGGTCATGATGTTGTCCACGCTGAAACCCGGGCCGTGGTGGTGGGGCGGCGGCGGGGGCGGAGGTGGGGGCGGCGGGGGCTCGGGGGCCTCCAGGCTGAGGGAGCGGCTGGAGGGGAGGGTGCTGCGGGGGCTGCCGCCGCTGGAGAGGCTGCTGCTGCTGTCGGGGCTCTCGATCTTGGGCACGGCGCCGAGCGGCGGCGCGGCGCCGGGGGGGGACACGGCCTGCGGCGGCGAGGCCGTGCCGTTCTCCGTCTTGATGTCCTGGATGCGGACGGGCGGCGGCGGCGGCGCGGCGCTGCCCCCGGCGGGGCCGCCCTCGGGCTCGGCGGCGGCGGCGGGCGGCGGCGGGCGCGGCGGGGCATGGTCCTTGAGGTGCAGGCGGTCCTTCTCCTCCTTGTCCTTCACGGCGTCCTTCTTCTTGAAGCGGCGGCGGCGGCGGAGGAAGCTGCCGTTCTCGAACATGTTGTAGGAGTCGGGGTCGAGGGTCCAGTAGCTGCCCTTGCCGGGCTTCTTGTCGTCGCGGGGCACCTTGACGAAGCACTCGTTGAGGGAGAGGTTGTGGCGGATGCTGTTCTGCCAGCCCTGCTTGTTGTCCCGGTAGAAAGGGAACCGCTCCATGATGAACTGGTAGATCCCGTTCAAGGTGATCTTCTTATCGGGAGCGTTCTGGATGGCCATGGTGATGAGGGCGATGTAGCTGTAGGGCGGCTTCACCATATCCTTGGGCTGCGGCGGTGGCGTGTAGGGCCCGTAGGCTCGGGCCATGCCGGCCGGGTACTGCTCGTGGGCCGGGTGGGAGTACATGCTCATCGGGGCCGGCATGGCCGTGTAGCCCCCGCCGGCCGCCGCTGCAGCGGCGCGGTAGTAGCTCTGCTCTCCGCCGAGGTACGGCACCACTCCTAGGGAGTTGGGACTGGACACGGAGTAGCGAGCCTGCATGTCCTCCCGTCAGCTTTCCCCCACCCTCCCCGCCGGACCAAACAGCGCGTCCCTTCCCCCTCCACCCCTCCGCCGCTCCGCGGACCGAGCTGGACCGGGCGGCCGGGCAACCCCCACCCCCCCACCCCCCCGGCGGAGCGCGGAAAAAAGGAGGAAGAATAACGACGGCAGCGCCGAAAGCCTCCTCTTCTTCGCCCAGGAAAGCCCACCGGCGAGCTCCCGCGCTCCACGCGGAGGGGGGAAAAAAATCAAAAAAGGGGGGGGGAAAGGAGGGGGACAAAAAAGGGGAAAATGTTTCAAAAAAGAAAACGGTGGAGGAAAAAAAAAAGTAATCGCAGCGAAGAAAGCAACTTCCAAACGCAGAAAGAGTATTAAGAAAATAAAACCTTTGCAAAGAGGCTCCCACGCTCCCAGTTCCTTGTTCCACGGGGATCTGCAACAAGTTGTCTGCAAAGGAGGGACAAAAGTAGAGGGATGTGTTTTGTTGGCTTTTTTAAGCGAGCAGAAGAAGAAAAAAATCCACCTTCCCGATCTCCCAGTGCAAAGTTTCCCTCTCTCTCTCCCTCTTGCTTTTTTTCAGTCTCTTTTTCAGTCGCAGGCTGCTTTGGGAAGCATCGGAAAAACTCCTGAACTTTTGAGCATCCGTCACCACGGCGAGAACTTTTTTACGCACTTACAGTTTTCTCCTTTTTTTTTCCCTCCCTCTCCTCTCTTGGTCTCCTTTTTTTTTTTTTTCCTCTCTTTTTTTTCTTTTCCTCCTTTTGCAGGCGGCTCAGCTCCGCCCCGCCGAGCTGGGCCGGCCAATGAGGGCCGGGAGACACCCCGGGCTCTGAATGAGGAGGGAAAAAAAAAAAAAAAAAAACGAAACCGGGGGAAAAAAAAAAAAAAAAAAAAAACCAAAACCGAGGGAAAAAAAAAAAAAAAAAAGAGAGAAGAAGAAGAAAAAAAAAAACCCCGCAGCAGCTCCGGGAGTTGTAGCGCTCGGGGACCGGCCACACACACTCGCCGGCACACGCGGACGCCTTGAGCGCCGCGGAGCCCAGCGTTGCGCGGGCCGCTGCGCACCCGCGGGGATCCTCCAGCGCCCGCGCATTTTGCGCGATGGCCCAGCCCGAGCCCCACTGCCCTGCACCTACACCTCGCTCGCTCGCCCACACACCCGCGTCCTTACTCGCGCGGTCGCCCTCGCACACGCACCCCGGGCACACGCACCGTGTGCATGCCCTCACCAATATATATGTATATGTGTGTGTGTATGTATGTATATGTGTATATGCTTCCCCCGGAGCTCCTTCCGCCCACATGCGCACCCCGCGCTCTGCCACGCGTGTTTTCCCCACCAATGTTACTTCTGTTATTATTTTTTTTATTATTCTTTCTTTCTTACTTTTTTTTTTTTTTTCGTGTGTGTAAGCTCCTTGGTCTATTTTCTCCGCACGTTCCGGTCGGGCTCTCTCTTGCCATTCCCTCCAGGCTGCCGCTTGTGTCGGCGGCCGGCTCCATGCCGGTGTGCCGCCTCACTCCCTGTCCGTCCCGGCCAGAAGCTCACCCCAGCTGCCTCCCACCCCCCACGCCCGCGGGGACGAGGAGGAAAGTGCGTGTTTGTGTGTGCTTATGTGTGTGTGTGTGTGTGTGTGTGTGTGTATGTGGTGGGATGCCTCTGCCCCAGCAGCACCACCCTGCCTGAAGCCAGCTGCCTGCCTGACCAAATGCTTCTGAAGAGATTGCATTCCTCCGGTTGACAAGGGTTTGACGAGCCCTCCAAAGCTCCTTTTTATTAATCAGCCACCATGGGCTTTCCTCCCTCTGTCTGCAAATGAAGCGCCCGCTGCCCCTGCGGTTTATAAACACGGGCGCGTTTCTCTGAACGGGGTCTGTAGCTCGCCCCTTCAGGTAATCTTTGCGTGATGTGGGATGTGATACGGAAAACAGATCCTTCCTTTATATCTTTACTCATTTGAGACGGAGAGGGCATAATTTTGTTCCTAGTCTACTTCAGAGTGGATTCCGTGGTCAGGTGTGTCAAAAGAAAAAAAAAGGGGGGGAGGGAAGAAAAAGAACAAAATAAATGTTCTCTTAACTGCTTGGCCGGTTCTGCTATGAAGATTTTATTTGCTTTGCCTTTGTCTAACTATCTGAAATAACATTTGGGGTCTAATCAGAATAAGACTTTAACGGGAACTCAAAGGGAATAGAGAGTGAGGGCTTGGTTATTCATGTTTAAATTTTTTCATTTAATTTGTCTCTTATATTTGAAGAAGGAATATTTTATTTTCGTACTTTAAACACGGGTGAAATTAGTATACATTGTTTCATAGTAGTCTATTTTACCAATACTTCAGATATTCAAAATACAAACCTGTATGCTTCATTCGCTTTGTAGCCCATACCTCTGAAACTTCATTAGCGTTAATAATAGATCAGCTTAAAGTATCAGGCTGAAATCTATTTTAAGGGGTGGAATTTGTACGGGAAAGACGTGTGTGTGGTGCGTTTGTGAGACGAATTACCCATCCTGATCTCATGACACTCAAAATACGTTAAAAAGACCCTTTTGGCTTCACTGATTTGAAACCCCTTTCCACACTTTTTACTGTGATCGATTGCTTTGGGGATCATGCCTTTGGAGCGTGCTAAAGGCGCATCGTTTGCTTGGTGGTATTTTAGCAGGTATGGCTTTTCCTCTGAAACACCGATCTGTTGGTTATTAAAAAAATAAAAAGTATTTAAAATGAGATTCAAGTCATGTGAAGAAGGTAATTTATGTAGCTTAATATCTGCTCCTTTTCATATTCAAACGTAACGGGTCTCCTTTTGGTAGTAAATGTCAGTTCTTTAATGGTGAATACATTATCCCGTTTAGCCTGTTGTATTTCATCGTCTGGAATCTTTCACCTGCTCCTGCCTAATTACACTTTTTTCCCTTTCCTCCCACCACGGCAGAATTAATAAATGTGCAAGCACTGGACTAGATGTCAATTCCAACACTTTATATTTTCAAAACCTCTTTCTTGTTTTGCTGAGGGGAAAAATAAAAAAGGGGGAAAGAGAAAGAAAAAGGGCATTTTAACACGTTTCCATGCAGTCCAGGTCATCCGGTTTTCCCACGGTATTACCTGCCGTTAAAAACAATTTCCGGGGGCTTCCCACTCGCTCCCTTGAGCGTCCGTAACGTGCTGCTCCGAGACCCGGAGCTTTCAGTGGCTTTTTTATTTTATCTGGACAATGTTGACGGTAGCGAAGCTGTTTCACAGGCAAAGGTTGGAGTAACACCGAGAAGTTTCAGTACAGGGAAGGAGGGGAGGGGGTAGGCATTAATCCGAAGTATTTTGCATCTAATATATTTTGCAATAGCCACTCTGATGCTATAATTGCGAACTGACGCAACTAACGTGTGTTAAGTTACAGACCTCAACCCAGCAGGACTTTGGTTTCTCTACTCGAGGCACAAAAGTCACCATTGTGAAGGTTCATAGTGGAATTTGGGGCTTGTGTGTGTGCGTGTTGGGGGGAAGCAACGGGTTCAGGGAGGCAGGAGGATCAGTTTTCCCCCTGCTGTCTTTGGATACCACCCAGAAAGAGTTCTTGGCGCTGGGTCTTCACCCACCCGGTCGTCCGGCAGGGCTACCTCTCCCAGGCGCCCTACCTCTGCCGCCTTAGCCAGCCTGGCCTCCGTGCGGGACAGCCGCCTTGGAGGTGCCCCCGCCTGGCTCTGCCGCAGGAACGGAGCAGGACGGCAGCAGCCTCGGCCTCCGTGGGCCCCCTCTCCCGGGGGGAGAGCACGGGCACGGCCGCTGCCGCCTCCTCCCCGAAGCCGGGCGGGGGACGCCGGCGGTGGGGAGGGAGCCTCGATGGGCAGACCCAGGCCAGGGGAGCCGCATTTGTCTTGAAACCCTCCGAGGATTCGTGTGTGTGGTCATTTGCAACCTTATTTAGGAAGATGTCAGAAAGAAAGATGACATCGGAGGGGTAGGCGGCGGGACTACCATTTGACCTGGGCAAAACCCAGGTGGACCCAAACAATTCGCTGTGCCTTGTCCTTCTCGCTCCTCTCAAAGACCTGGAGGTGAACTGCTTTCCAGCCCCGGGCTGTTTATGTTTAGTCGTAGTCAGAGCTTCGCTTCTCTCCCTTTCTTTTGGCTTCAACATCATAGCAGTGTCCCTGTAACTCTGAAACCAGCCACCCAGCCCGTCTCTGCATCTCAGGATGCAGCTTTCCATGTTCTTTAAACAGCGGGCGACACCACAGGAGCAAACCGCTGACATCCTTTCGAGGGTCAGGGAGGGAAATGATCGCATCAAATCTGTGCTTCACTAGTAGAAAAATCTATTGTGCCGAAAGTCTCCTCTCTGATTGCAGCCGCTGGACATGGGTGACAGCAATCCCTTCCTCCCACCCTCTCGTCCTTGCACCAGCACCTCTGCCATCTCAAGCCTGTGCAATTAAGCCGAGCTGTAAATGCAAGGTCTGTTTTGCGTGGTACTCAGTTAAGCAAACAGGCGTGATTGTTATTTTATTAACGTGGGTAAACAATTCCATAAATGTACCGAGGTAGTTTTCCAATCCAGGGCGTCTTTTATCTTGAGACATAAATAACACAACTTAATACGAAAATGAGCACTCCATTCCCTGTGGCATCTTTAGCCTCTCGTTCTTGGCTGAGACATAAATTATCCTTTGCAGTAAATGAGGCAGCAGACATCGACTTAGTGCCATTCACGAGAGAAATACCTTAATTTCACGTTCAGTATCTAAAAGCTAATTTTGCATTTAGTTTACAAAAAAGAACCGAGACCATCAAGAGGTCGGAGCATTTAATCTTCCCACGATAATTATAGCGGCCGTACTCATAATTCGTCTCTGTGACACAGGTTGTGTCACAGAGATGTCGCGGCACTAAGAATAAGGACAAAAACCAGGCTGTGGGAAACTACTTGTGTTGTTTCTGCTGTAAAGTACATTCTGTAAAGTACTATCACACACACACACACAAACACACACACACACACACACACACACACACAGAGAAAAACCCG